AGCCTTGCCCACCAGGTCCCTCTGCCTTCACATGACTGCCGGGACAGCAGCGTCCCCACCGCGTGGTGTCCCTGGGCGGCCCAGTTGGCCTGCCTGCTGCCATTAGTTCCCATGCACCAGGCTGAAGGGAGTGCGAGGCGGCCTGCCCGGGGCAGTGGGCACAGCTCTTGGATACCAGGCCTCCAGGCCCAGGTGAGCTTCTGGGCGAAATGTCGCCGGGAGCGGACGGGACGCGGGGTGGGGGTCGAGCTTGGAGCCGACCCTCCACCAACTCAGGCCAGACTCCCGCCCAGGGCTGTGGCAGTGAGAACAGCTTGAATTTAAATTACTAACTGGATCAAGTATCTCATGAAAATTCCCGGTCTGATATATTTAGTTAGTCTAACTGCTCTAAGTTTCAGAGGTGCTGGGCCCAGCCCGGCGGTCACTGTCCATCACCTCCGGCCCTGCTCCCAAGCCTTGCTTCCCGAGCCCACCTGCCCACCGAGCCCGACTCAGGGCTGCGGATTGAGCCGGGAGGCTGGCCTCCTGGGGCCTGCCTGGGAAGACCCCCCCAGAGTGACCGCCCCTGCCCGTGTCCGGGGTATCGTACTGGCCATCGGACCTGCCCTCAAGGAGGGCATGGTCTGAGGGCATCAACTTCAGGAAATCACCCCACAAGAGCAGGCTGAAACATTCGGACCTTCCTTCCCTGTGGGGTGCCCAGGGCTCCACACGGACCTCGTCCGAGCCGGCCAAGGCTGAGGCCCCCCAACTCACTGAGCTGAGTGCCCCGGACGGTGACGATTTCCCACAGGGGCCGTGGGGGATGCACCCGCACACACATGCTCCCGCGTGTGCGCCCTGGCCTGTGTTGGTCTCTGTGTGTGTAGTGGTGTATGATGTGCATGCGCATCTGTGGGTGTGTTACGTGTGTGGCGGGCATGCACTCACCGGTGTGTGCATGCAGTCAGGGTCCCCTGCCCACCAGAGGGGCCTGAGGAGACTGTCTCAGGCGTCCAGCTCCCCGCCCTCGCCCTCAGCCGAGACCCCAGCGGGGCCTGTCCCTCCCCGCCCTGACCACGAAGGCGGAAGCCTTGGGGCCTCAATCTAGGTCCCCGGGGCCTCTGAGTCCCGTCTCTGCCTGACGGCGCCTGCGGTGGAGGGGCTGGTGTGGCAGTAGATGGACAGACAGATGGACAGCCGGCTCTCCAGGCGGCTGGGTCCTCCCACCAAGTGGGCAGCTAAGTCAACAGGCCCAGAAACCGGAGAGGCCCGGCCGTGGTCCTCTGTTTGCTTGTTCTCGGAGGTGGACTTCCAGCCTGCAGGGGGGCGGGGCCACTGTCTCCCGGGTCTGGCCGCAGCCCCCTCTGTCCGGTCCAGCCCCTGCTCACTGTCTCCCGGGTTCTGTTCTCCTGGGCCTGGAAGGAGCACCCTCAGGGAGGGGGAGGAGGTGCACCAGCTGCGCCGAGCCGGGGACCCTCCCAGCTGCGAGGGTGCGCTGTGAGGCTCTCCTGGCTGCCTTGTCCATCCCCCCCCCCGCCCCCGTCTGCGTCCCCCACTCATTGCCCTGTGTTCACGCTGCAGTCACCCGCCCCCCAGAGGCCAAGAAGAGCTCCAGGTGATGCCTCAGAAGGGGTGGGGGCAGCCCCCCAGACGCGGCTCAGCTCATCCCACCCAGACACCTGCAAGCCAGCGAGGAGCACACACCAGGCCGCTGCGGCGCCAGCCTTTGCCAGCACCTCTTCGGATGCTCAGGCCCCGCACGGGAACCCCAGTGTACAGCTGGGGCACAAGCCGAACCTCAGGCCTAGAGCTCCCCACCTGGGGGACTGGCAGGGACATGCGCTTCAGTTGGGGGCACCCTGCGGGAAAGGCCTGGGGGCAGTTAGGGGCCAACAGAGCCACCCCTGGTCCCAGTGCAGGAGCCTCCAGGCTGGTGGGGAGCGCGCTTCCTCCAAACGCAGGTGGTGTCACAAGAGCCCAGGTCAGTGGGGGCAGGGGCGGGGGCGGGGCGGGGTGGGGGAGGGGACAGGGAGCGGGACTTGGGGGGGGGGACAGGACAGGTGTGTGGGGAGGGGATGGAGTGGGGGAGCAGTAGGGTGGGGAAGGGGACGGGTGGGGGGAGGGGAGGGGTGGGACAGAGTGAGAGGGGTGTGGGGGAGGGGACGGGTGTGGGGGGAGGGTGGGTGCCGGGGAGAGAAGCCGCCCTCACCCAGGATGAATGGTGTAGCTTGGCCGCTAGCCTCTCCTCCCAGCCCCAGCCCTGCCCTGGGGCCTGAAGTTCTGCACCCCCCTCCCTGATGGGCCGACCACGCGAGGCCCCGAGGCTGCGAGCTGGGTTTGTGGAAGCCCGGCTCAGACTGCACCCGCCTCTCTCTCCCGCTCTTCCAGCCTCGGCCACGCTAGGGGAAGAGGGGGCCTCCTGCCTGCCTCCGGGGCTCCGGGTTACTGCCCGTTCGTGCCCACGAGGGCCACCCAGAGAGTCGCCTGTATTGGCATCGCAGCCCCAGCACCTTGGCTGGAGGAAGGCAGGTGGGACGTGCCCAGGGGCCAAGGTCCTGAGCAGGCACCCGCGGGAGAGCGAGGCGGAAGGGGAGGGAGCCATCCCGGCTCCAGCGAAGGTCGGTCCCACTCCGGCCTCCCCTGAGACCCCGCACCGCCCCCTGCGGGGGAGTGACTGCAGGCCTTCCTGTGGGGCCAGGGGAACTGCGGGCATGGGGAACGTTCCTGGCAAACCAGTCCTGAAACGAACGAGCCAGGTGGAAGAAAGCCTGCTGCGCTCCTGCGGAATGCTGTGGCAGCCGCTGTCCCACTCTGCGCTCTGGCCCCTGTGGCGGCCGGAGACCCAGGCAGTGGGGGGGGGGGGGTGGTGCAGGTGGAGCCCACCGTGTCTCCAGGAGCACTGGAGCACAGTGACACCCAAGGGCCCACCGATCCTTCCAGGGCTGGGAGCTCAGAGTGCCGGGCAGACGCCACGGAAGTGCCTGCACGGCGGCAGGAGTGACGCATGGACCCCGGTGTTGCCGGCTCCCTTGGGGACCGACGTGCGCTCTGGGGAGGAGCTGGGTGCCGCCCAGACACCCCAGGCTGCCCCTTGTGAGCTGGGAAGTGAACCTCTGAAACAGGGCTAGGGATGCTGGGGGCGAGGGTGAGTGCACCTGGGGCTCACCCCAGAGCAGCCCCGAGAAGCAGGGGGTGGCCGCCCGCTCCCTCCCGCCGGCCACCTTCTGCCCTTGGCTGCCCTTCTGGCCCCCACCTCGGGCTGAGGGTCCACAGGAGCCTCATTTCTAGGGCCTGTAACGTAGTTTCATCCTGGCTCCATCCTGCTGACCGGCGCGGGGAATGCGTGTCCTGTCTTCAGCCCGCATCCCGGGTGAAGGGGGCGGCGTGCCCTGATTGGGCAGAACCTGATCAGCCCTCGGCCCTGGTGGCGCCTGCCCGACTCCCACCTCTTGCTCTCGGAGGTGCGGCCGGCAGGGGGAGTGAGGCGGAAAGGAACCATGCAGGTCGAGGTGAGGGAGAGTGGATGCAGCATGGCAGGGCACGTGCTCCCCCAGGGCGGTGAGGGCACTGGGGTGCGCGCAGCGAAGAGTGGCGCGGGGTGGGGGGGCCGGGAGGGACGGGCGAGCGCACCCCCAGGGGCGCAGGAGGCAGCAATGCTGAGGGGTCTGGTCCCTTTTGTTCTTCAGCCACTCAGTCACATCTGACTCCTTGCAACCCCATGTACTGCCGCACGCCAGGCCTCCCTGTCCATCACCAACTCCCAGAGTTTACCCAAACTCACGTCCATTGAGTCAGTGATGCCATCCAACCATCTCATCCTCTGTCGCCCCTTTCTTCTCCTGCCTTCAGTCTTTCCCAACATCAGGGTCTTTTCTGATGAGCCGGCCTTTCCCATCAGGTGACCAGAGTGTTGCACTATCTTTAGCATCTCTGGCCCCTGCAGCTGGGTTCCAGCTGGGGCCTGGCATTGCTGCTGCATTCGGGGCCTGCGGTGGCTGGAGTGGGCAGCGGCAGCGGGGGAAGCAGAGCTGTGAGTTGCAGGAGGAGCGCCCTGACCTCGTCCGTCCTGCTCTCAACCAGAACTGGCACACTCCCTTCTGCGCTTTCCCCATCCAGCCTGGCCGCCCATGTTCCGGCTCAGGCACCAAGGGGTTAAGAAGGGCCGAGAGGACCCTGCTCCTGTCCCCCACCTCAAACTCCTCGGAGGGCCAGGGCCCTCAGGACAGAGCCCCAGAAGCTGACTCCACAACTCCAGAGGCCCCAGAGTTTTCACTTTCACTTCTGCTCCTTTCCCAAGGCCAGTGTCTCCCTTGGACTCAGCACCTGCCCATGGCCTTCCGGTGTTCGCCCAGGTATACGGGAAGGCTCCCCGGGTGCACGGGATACGACCACGGGCACCTGCACAGCCCGCCCGCCCACCTGCTACAGTGCCCCTGGGGATACCCCGTGCGCCCCTCTGGATGCTGACATGCTCACTTCCTGCAGCAGCTACCCCTGCCCGCGGGTCCTGGCAGCCCCCCGGCTGGCCCTGCTGCGGGGGTGGCTGGCGGGGGTGGGGTGGGCAGGAAGCTCAAGCCTGGCTGCTCCCGCATCATAGGACTCCCTGGACCTGCTTCCGGGCCGCACAGATCAAGGCCACAGCCACCCCTTGGGGAGGGCAACCCCTGGCAACCACGCGCCTTCCCAGCTTGGTCCACGGGCCGCAGAGGCCATCCAGGGGAGGGGCGGGGCTCAGCGCTCACTAGGTCACGGTCGCCCACCCCATCACACAGCAGGGCCCACGTGCTCACCGCCTCCGCTCCAGGCCGCGCCAGTCCTGGACCTCAGGCCCTGGAGCCCCGTGCTTCCTGCCGGAGCGGCTCCAGGCCCCCCGGGTTCTCGGCCAGCACACTCTCCAGCTTGGGGGTCCAACAACCCCCAGAGAGGCTGCTGCCTCTCGCTCCAGACAGGCGAAGCAGCACAGGCCTTGGAGACAGGCCTGAGGGCCAGAGCCCAGGGCCCAAGCAAGTCCTGGGTCACGGAGGCCTGGCGCCCTGCAAGGGGGGCGTCTGGGCTGGGCGGCCATGGATGCCCCCAACTGGGCGGAGGTGGCCCCAGAGGCAGGAGGTGCGGGGAAGCGCCGGCCGCTTCAGGCTTAGCATCCGGGAAGCCTCGGTCAGCAGGCCCAAGTGGGCAGCCGGGCCTTCCAGGAGGGCAGGCCAGCTGTGGGGCGGGCGAGGGGCAGCGAGCAACCGGACCGGCCACGGCCTGAATTCCTCCGACGTGTCCTCGGCTCCCTTGGCCAGTCCAGGCCCCGCCCCCGGCCCTCCCTGCACCCGGCCGGTGCTCGGGGAGGTCGGAGGAGCGGGCACTGCCCACCCTCCGGATGTATAAGCGTCCAGGCCAGGGGCGGGTGGCGCGCGGGTGCGCGTGACGCTCGGGTTCCCGGGCTGGGCGGCCTGGGCGGTGTCCCTCTGCTCAGGGTCCCTGGGCGCGACCGTGAGCCGCCCACAGGGGCCCGGGAGCCGCTCGCGGGGCCGGGTCCCGTCCCTGGGCGCCAAGGAAAGAACGACCCTGCGGCCCTGGGGCCGTCCGCCCGTGGCCGCTGCTGGAGCCTGGACGGCCCTCTCCGCGCCCAGGTGCAGGGGCAGCTGGGGAGGCGGGAGGAGTCCAGGGCAGGGCCCAGCCGGAGCCCCGCGGCCGGGGTCTGGGGCTGGGGGCGCCTGCTCTCGCCTCCCCTCGGAGCGGTGGAAGCCAGTGGCTTCGCTGTACAGAGGGAGGCCAGGCCTCGGGGAGCTGCGAAAGGTCTGGGGGCGCTGGCCACGGAGGCCCCTGGGAGCTGAGGCGAAGGGCTGGGGAGCTTGAAACACAGGAGGGCCCGCACCACCCCCCGGGGCGCTCCACAAGCCAGGGCCCCCTCGGCCCAGGGTGGGGGGCCGTGACGCCATGTCCCCTGGGCCTGGGGCCGCGGCGGTGAGTGGCACCGCAGGCTCCCGCCCCCGGGCCGTGGGCTGGGCCGGCCTCCGTGGGGCCGGGTGCACGCAGTCGGAGGCGGCGCCGGCCAGGCCGCTGGGCGCCTATGGACGCGCGGGGCCCGCTGTCTCCCCGGGCCAGCGCGTTCAGCATCGCCTCTCTGGTTGCAGCAGAGGCCGCAGAGCGCACCGCCCGTACGGCCCCGGGGTCCTCCGAGCCTGCGAAGCCGCTGGGATCCCCGGCCGGCATGCACTTCAGCACCGTCACCAGGGACATGGAAGGTAAGCCTCCCCGCTGTGTCTGGGCAGATGCCTGCCAGACCCCGGCCCCTGGGGCCCAAGCAAAGAGGGCTGGCGGGATTGGGGGAGGACGGAAAAGGCAGCACTGGCGGGGTGAGTGCCCGGCTTCCAGCCTGGACTCTAGGGCGCAGAGGAAGGGCGGCATCCTGCCCGAATCCTGTGCCCCCTTCGCCTGGGGACCCCGCTGCAGAGACCCGTGCAGCTGAGCCCAGAGCAGAAGACAGCGTGGGAGGTAGGAGGGGGACAGGAGAGAGGGACCAGAGGGAGTCAGAGAGCTTGGAGAGGTGGGGGGCAGCAGGGGAGCCCCAGAAAGCCGGGGGACTCGGAGGAGAGAGCGCAGGAGGGGACGGCGGGAGGAAAGAGCTGGAGAAAAAGGAGAGGAAAACGGGACACCCGAAAGGGGAAAGACGGAAAGGAGACGAAGAGGGCCAGAACCAAAGAGAAGTGCGCGGAGAAGTTAAGAAAGTTGAGTCTTAAGAAAAGAAGAAAGTCAAGGGAAACAGTTCGGTCTTAAAAAAAAAAAAAGTTAAAAGCCACGAATAATAGAGAGACGCACAGACAGGAGGGGTACAGGCAGACTGAAAGGAAAGACAGCGCAGAGGGAGCAGCAGGAAAGAGGGGAAGAGGCGGAAAGTAAAACAGAGATAGAGACGCGAGAAAGACAGTGCAGGGAGGCCGGAGGATGCGGAGGGGAGACGAAAGCGACGGAAACAAAGGTAAGGGAATAACAAATTGCAGGAGCCCAGGCGGGCAGCGCCGCGCGGGAGGGCAGCCGGCGGGCGCTCCGGCGCTCGCACGCTCGCCCGCCGCCCGGGGAGCCGGTCCGGGCGGTCCGGGGCCGGGAGGGGCGGGGGGCGGGGAGGGGGCCGGGAGGCCATTGTCTCGGCGGGGGCGGGGGCGCGGGGCGGGGCGGGGCGGGGCGGCTCCGCGGGCGGCGGCGCTGGGCGGCGCGCGCCCGCCACTCGGCCCGGGGCGCGGGGCAGCGCTCACCTCGGCGGGGCGCGCGGCCCGCGGGCCATGATCTCCGCCGTGTCCAGCCCGTGGCTCACGCAGCTCTCGCACTTCTGCGACGTTGCAGCCTTCACGGCCAGCAGCCTGAGCGGCCTGGGAGCGGCGGGGGGCTTCCCGGGCGCCGCGTCGCCCGGCGCCGACCCTTACGGCGCGCGCGAGCCCCCGCCGCCGCGCTACGAGCCGTGCTCCGCCGCCGCGCCGGGCGCCCCGGGCCCGCCTCACGCCTACCCGTTCGCGCCGACCGCCGGGGCCGCCAGCAGCGCCGCCGAGCCCGAGGGCCCCGGGGCTAGCTGCGTGGCCGCCGCCAAGGCGCCGGTGAAGAAGAATGCGAAGGTGGCCAGCGTGAGCGTGCAGCTGGAGATGAAGGCGCTGTGGGACGAGTTCAACCAGCTGGGCACCGAGATGATCGTCACCAAGGCCGGCAGGTCAGGGCGCCCCCTCCTCGGCCGCAGGCCGCCCCAGCCTGGAGGGGCCGGCGAGTGGGGCGGGGGCACGGCCGGCTTCTCTGCTACCGGGTCCCGGCTCCGGCGACAGCTGCCTGGGGAGCCAGCAGAGGGGCCGGGGAGGAGCAGGCCGCCGGGGGTCCACCCGCCACCCCGGGACATCCGCGGCTTGAGGCAGGGGCCGGCTCACTTCCTCGGGGCCTCGCCAACCAGGGGATCCAAGTGGATCCCAACTTTTCAGAGGAAACTCCCGTCTCTGGTTCCTCAATTCAGTCCATCCGGGCTAGATGGAGGCGCTGCCCAGCAACGGGGCAGTGGGTCGGAACTGCTCTGGGACAGTGAAGACCCTCCTGGGCGGGCTGTGTTGTGGGGAGGCTGCCACCCCGTTTTCTCAGGCCTACGTCTCTGCCGACCGCGGGGGGCCTGGCTCTGCCGCTGGGGCCGCCGCCTTCTGTTGGGCTGTGTTTCTTTGAAGGGCCCGGAGAGAAGGGGAACAAGTTTTGCGATGCAGCCGATGTGACCGGCAGACAAAGGCGGGTGCCCGTCTGTGTCTAATGTACACAGGAGACACCGGCTCTGCATCTGCACGGCCCGGGAGGGCTCAGGGCCTGTTTGCAGAGCCCGCGCCGGGCTCCTCCTGCCCTGTTGCGGCGTCTTCCCCAGGGAGCCCGAGGCCTTCTCCAGCTCTCCAGCCGGCCCTGGGCGCTCAGCCTTCTGCTTGGCCCCGCCAGAATTCTGCAGCCCCCTCTGGCCTGCAGGGGCAGGGGGTAGGGGTGGCTTGTCCAGGAGGGCTGGCGTCAGCCCACCACCCGAGAGGAGGTGCCTGTAAAAGGCAGCGGTGGGACAGGCTGGCTGGGGCCGGTCGGCACGCTGTTCCAGCCGGCAGCCGGCACCCGGGACTAGACCAGCCTGCGGCCATCGCCCTGAGCTGGGATTGCGTGTAGGACGAGTTGGAGCTCAGGGGAGGGGACAGTCAGGGGACCCCAAGGACACAGGCCAGGCCGGCCTGGAGTAGCTGTGCCTGGGGAACTTGCGTGTGTCCTCAAGGAAGGTGGGGAGAACCCCAGGACCTGGCGAGAAGCCTTAGGGCCAGGGCTGTGGACTCCCCAGCTTGGCCTCTCGGGGGGGAACCGGGGAAGCAGCCGTAGACTCAGCTGCAAGGCTGCCCGGGACTCCTGGAATCCCTCGGTCGGTCCGCCTCGCTTTCACTTTGTTGGAGCCGGGAGCTTAAAGCGATCGCTTAGATCAGGCGGTCAGGGGCCGTCCTGCTGAGGGCTCAGGACCCGGGACTGCGTTGCTGCGGCCCACTGGGCTGACCCGGCCCGGATGGCCGGATCCGCAGTCAGCGAGGCTGGGTCTACGCCGGTGGAGGTGCAGTAAGAAACCAGAGGCCGAGGTCAGGGCCTGCAGGCCCGCCTGACACGCTGAGTTAGCCGTTTCTGGGTTTCTAACCGGGGTGGGGGGGCAAGGGGCTGTGCCGCTGTCCACTCGCCCTTGGTGGGGCAGGGGCCTAGTCAGGTCGGTCAGGCAGCCGGGTGAGAGGAGATACGACCAGGGCCCCGGCCTGCCACGTCCTGGGCCGCTGGAAGCGGGCGGCCTGCCCTCCCCTCCCGAGCTGACGGGATCTCGCCGCCCCCAGGCGCATGTTCCCCACCTTCCAAGTGAAGCTGTTCGGCATGGACCCCATGGCTGAGTACATGCTCCTCATGGACTTCGTGCCCGTGGACGACAAGCGCTACCGGTGAGAGCCCGGCCCGGCCCGGCGGGTGGAGGCGGGCGGCCCAGAAAGGTCGGTTGCGACCGGTGGCCAACTCTCCGGTCCCGCCAGACCCCAGCCCCACAGGCCCGTCCACCCCCAGCAGTTCTGGGGATTGGCCCTGGGGGGCGCACATGTGCTGGGGGCCCCCCACCAGCCTTGTCCGCGTTCCCCTCTCCTGCAAGGTGAGCCCGTCCCTTCCCCCTCCCCCGGGACGCTGGCCCCGGAGCCAGCAGGAAAGGTGGGGTGGCCGGGAAAGATTACGCTGGGCGGGCCTGGCCGCCCGGACAATTAACAGCAATTAATAAAGAGAGCCCGGTCCGCCCTGCGCCCTAGGCCCTGGCAGGCCAGATCCAGGCCCCCCCCTCCCTGCCGCACTGGCCTGTGACTCGGGAGGCTGCAGGCTGGCGGGACCCGCGTGCCGCGAACTGTGGCGCCAGAGCCGGCTGCCTCCCTGCTGGCGCTTCCTGCCGCCTGTGTGTCAGAACGGGGTTCCGTTTCCTCGCGGCTCCCTGGGCAACCCCCCGTCCGCCGGTGGGAGCCTCGGGCACCTCAGGCTCCCCGGGCAAGGCCCTCACCCGCTGTGTCGTGGCCCCGTCCCCCCACGGCCCAGGTATGCCTTCCACAGCTCGTCCTGGCTGGTGGCTGGGAAGGCAGACCCCGCCACGCCGGGCCGCGTCCACTACCACCCCGACTCGCCGGCCAAGGGGGCCCAGTGGATGAAGCAGATTGTCTCCTTCGACAAGCTCAAGCTGACCAACAACCTGCTGGACGACAACGGCCATGTGAGCGGCCCCCCAGGCTACCACCCCGTCCCCCGGCAGGCCGAGGGAGTCCCCGCTGACCCGCGCCACGGCAGTGTGGATGACGGACGGGCCAGGGAAAGCCAGCCCTCGGGTCAGGGGCCTGGGCCTGGGAGAGAGAGCCTTGCTGGTCCCTTCACCCCGCTGCTGGGCTTTTGCTGGAGACGATTTAGATTTCCCTGGAAAGGATGGGGGGCTGTGGGGTAGGGTGGGGGCAGCAGCCTTTGGAGTCTGGCGGCTCCTGAGAGGCAGGCCTCCTGGGTGAGCGCAGGGTTGTGCCGGGTTGTCGGGAAGTGCACACCTGTCTGGGCCCTGCTGGTCTCCGAGCTGAGCTCGGACCTCATCACCTCTCTTCCAGATCATCCTCAACTCCATGCACAGATACCAGCCACGCTTCCACGTGGTGTACGTGGACCCACGCAAAGACAGCGAGAAGTACGCTGAGGAGAACTTCAAAACCTTCGTGTTTGAGGAGACTCGCTTCACCGCGGTCACCGCCTACCAGAACCACCGGGTGAGGCCCCGGGGCAGCCGGCTCAGCACCCCTGGGAAGCCTGGGGAAACCCAACCAGTCTGGAGCACCGCCCCCCGCCCCCCCACCCCAGGGCCTCAGACCATCCCCCTCCCCTCTGTGTCCCTGGCCAGACCAGCTTCCTATCTGGTTGACCCCTCAAGCAGCAACTGTCATTGTGGCCTGAAGGTTTGTTTTCCAAACCATTCCGGAAGCTCCCACCGGGGGCCTGATGCGGGTCTACCCAGATTCCTGGGGTGCCCTCCACTCCAGACCTCAGCGGGTGGGGGGTGGACATAACTGCATTCCTAGCCCAGCCTGGGGGGCACTTGCATGTGCAAAAGAGGAGGAGGTCCTCAGCCAGAAGGAGGGCTCCCCAGCCCTGAGGGGTGCAGACCCCTGCGCGGGAGGGAGCGGGTGTGTTCCAGCCGTTTCTAGTGGAGAACCGGAGTGGGGGAGGAGCAGAGGGGAGAGTGGCGGGCTCCTACCGCTCCCTCCCCTATGGGTAAGTCCCGCGGCCCCCAGGGCGAGCCCAGTGCCCGCTTCCCGCAGATCACGCAGCTCAAGATCGCCAGTAACCCCTTCGCCAAAGGCTTCCGAGACTGCGACCCCGAGGACTGGTGAGTGTCCCCCAGGAGAGCAAGAGCACGCGGGCGCCTCGCTGGCGCCCCTGACCCCCGCCCGCCTCCCTTCCGCAGGCCCCGGAACCACCGGCCCGGCGCGCTGCCGCTTATGAGCGCGTTCGCCCGCTCGCGCAACCCCGTGGCCTCCCCTACGCAGCCCAACGGCGCGGAGAAAGGTAGGCCGGGGTCGTGGGATCCGGGCGGGCGGCCGCGCCCGGCCTCGCCCGCGCCGCAGGGGCGCTCGCGGCCTTTGCGGCGGTTGCACAACGACCGCGGCGGCCGGGCAAGCGCGCACTAGCCCGCCGGCCCGACGGCTGCGCCCGCCCGCCCCGCCCCGCCCGCTGGCGGGCGCGGGCCCCTGGGGAGGGCCCGGAGCTGGGCAGGGGCGCCGGACGGGGGCCGGCGCGCTCTCGCCGGCTTCTCCGCGGCTCAGCCGTCGGCCCTCCCCGCAGACACGGCCGAGGCCCGGCGAGAATTCGAGCGCGAAGCAAGCGGTCCGGCGGGGCTTGGGGACCCGGCGCACCCGCCGCAGCTGCTGGCGCGGGTGCTCAGCCCCGCGCTGCCTGGGCCCGGGGTCCCCCTGCCCGGTGCGCCGGGAGGCCGGCCCAGCCCCCCGAACCCCGAGCTGCGCCTGGAGGCGCCCGGCGCGTCGGAGCCGCTGCACCACCACCCCTACAAGTACCCGGCCGCTGCCTACGATCACTACCTCGGGGCCAAGAGCCGGCCGGCTCCCTACCCGCTGCCCGGCCTGCGCGGCCACGGCTTCCACGCGCACCCGCATGCGCACCCGCACCACCACCCGGCCGTGAGCCCCGCCGCGGCCGCGGCCGCCGCCGCCGCGGCCGCCGCCGCCGCCAGCATGTACTCGTCGGCCGGGGCTGCGCCGCCGGGCCCCTACGACTACTGCCCCAGATAGTGCGCGCGCCCGCCCGGGGCCCAGGCCACGCGGCCGCGGGGCCGCCCCCCACCAGTCCCAGGGCGGCCCGAGGACCCCGCTCCCCGGCCCCGGGGCCCCCGGGGCGCGCCGCCAGTGCCGAAGTGCGCGGTGCGCGCGGGAAGGAAGTGGTATTTATTGTTCCCGGCGAGGCCGCGACGGCCCCGGCCCGGCTGGCCGCTGCAGCGTGGACGACCCGAGAACCCCCGTCTGCAGGCGGTGTGGTGTAGATACTTGTAGATATTTGTAGATAAAAGTGTAGATACCGCGCCGGCGCCGCCTTGATAAACGGTTTCGCCTCTTTTGGAAGCTGCCTGAGTGTCCATTTCTTTGCGTCGGGTTACATCGCTAAGGGTGTCTGGGGAGAGCCGGACTCGGGGGCTCGCGGGCTCCCCGGCCAGGCGGGCCGCAGGGCCGGGGTCCCTGCCTCGCGCTCCCAGCCCCACCCCCCGGAGCCCACCTGCGGCCCCGCCCCCGGCCCTCCCGGCCGCGCGCCCCGCCCCCGCTTCCACCTCGCGGTCCCCCGCGGCCTGAGCTCCTAGTCCCAGGTGTTCATCCGGCCTCGCTGCTTGACATTCCTGCCTTGGCAGCTGCCCCTCTGCCTAGAACCCGGGCCCCGCCCATGGCCCGTTTTCAGGACCGGTGCCTGTCCTGTTTTTCCATGGAAGCTGGGATAACAGTCCTGGTCGAGCAGGATGGACTCTGTCCGCTGGGGGCTGGGAAGGGAAGAAACCCTGACTCTGCTCTCAGAGCGCTTCCCCGCTGGCCCCCGCCCAGGCCTGTGCCTTCCCCTGTTTATTGACTCTCTTTGCTGCCAGGGTCCCCATGGGGTGGCCTGAGCGAGGCCACAATGACAGTGGTCATGAGTCATCCTGAAACCTGCCTGGGAAGCGTTTTTCCCAGGCCAGGTGGCGTGGGACCTCTCCCCATCAGCGCTACGCCGGACCTTTGATGCGGTCCCTTCCTGAGTCCAGGCAGGAAGAGCCGGCAGCGTCAAGGCTGCCGGCCTGGGCGCGAGAGGGACAGGAAGTGCGAGTGGCCGAGGCCCCGTCCCCCTTCCGGGCCTGACCCGCTGCGTCTGTGGGCCTGGAGGCCACCTGGCAGCCGGGGCCTGGGCCACCAGTCCCAGGGCACAGCCGGGCGTTCCTGCTGTCTGCCCTGGGCTGACCCTTTCTTTCTGGAGGTGTCTGCCCTGGAGGCGGTGAGTGGAGCTCAGCGATTGGAGGGCAGGAGCCATTCTCGTGAGTCCGGTCTAGGATGGGACATGGTGACCACGGCTGCTGAGGAGTGAGCAGGGGAACCAGGGCCTCCCAGATCCTCTCGGGGTACCTGGCGCCGGGCGTGAAGACCCCTGCAGCGTCTGCCTGAGTGGCCAGCAGGCTTGGTGGACAGAGCTTCAGGAACGCAGCCCTGGATGCTGCCCCAGCGGCTCCGCCCTAGTGGGTAGTCTGCCCCCAACCCCAGGTCTGCCTCTGAGTGAGTCGGTTGTGCCCCTGGCTTCCTCGCTTGGGGCCACAAATGCAGCCAGCCCTCCTCGTCCTGGGTGGAGAGACACGCCGTGGTTTGCTCTGCCCAGTCGGTCTCCACGTGGCGCTCCGTCCTCCCACGCTCCGTCCAGACCAGGGAGAACCACGGGTGCAGAAATCTCCATTTTGGGTTTGTTCAGCACTGAAGTGAGGGCACGTGTTCTCTGGTGACCGGCGTTGGCAGTTGAGCGGCGCCTCCCAAGACCGCCCCCTCCCCAGACTAGAGCGAGGGTTGCTGTGCTCACCGCGGGGTGGGCCAGTGCCAACAAGAAGGATGGAATAAAGGTGGATGCTGGGCTCCCACCAGCTGCATTCGAGAGCCAGGCACCTGTGGCCGGGCTCTGCAGATGCTTGCCTGACCTGGGGCGCAGCCCCCACCCCCAGAGGTGTGTTTTCTCCCGCTGCCTCCGCGGCTGAGTTGACCTGGCTGAGACCTTGTCACAGGCCGGCCACGAGCTGGGGCTCCCGCCAGCCACTGCAGACCCACGTCCAGACTCATGTGAGGGGCCCTCGCTTGTTCTTGGGTGGGTGCTGGGCTGTGCTGTGCGCCCCACGCCACAGTCACCCTGCCTCTCATCCTGGGATCGGGGGGAGGCCTGGCTCAGGTCACCGGGCCTCTGAAGGGCACTTGGGCCTCTCGGTCACTTGTCCCCAGGTGCAGGCACCTCCCTGGGACAGGCCGTTCCCCGCCCCCCCCCGCCCCCCGCTGGCCCCTGCTTCCCACTCTGACCCTTCTCTGGGGGGGCTGGGATCCTCCTCGGGGGCTCCCTCCCGGCTGTCGGACACCCTGAGCATCCTCCCTGTGCCCAGAGACCCCGTTCTGGCCCCATGTCTGTCTCCAGGGCCAGGAGGGACCTCAGAGACCTGGTCCAGGGGCTCCGGACCCTTCGGTCCCGAAGCTCTTCGAAGAGCCTTGACGCCCACCGCGTGAAGGAGGTAAAGGCAGGAGTGGAGGGAGGAGCCCCTGGAGCCCAAGCAGCCTGGCGTGTGGGGGACCATGTCCCACGTCCTGGGGTGGAGGGCTCCCTGGTCCTGCCGCCTCCCGGGGCATTCAGGAGCTGCCTGCCCCCGGCCCAGCGGTTGTGGTTCTGGTGACTCGCCCGGTGCCTGTTCAGCCGGGTCCCCAGAGGCCCGCTGTAGGAGCCCCGAGACCCCGCAGACCTGACCCCGCCGCGTGAGGACGCGAGGCGGACACCCCCCGTACAGCGTGAGGTCCTGGCTGTAGTGAGGGCTCTCAGGGGACATCCCTCTGGCAGCCGTGGTCTGGGTCGGGGGATGGTCACGGGGCCTCCCAGGGAGGCCTCGGTGGTGTAGCCTCTGGACGACGGACATCTGTTGGGGTCCGCAGGCCCATCCCTGGGGCCGGGGAGGCCCCCAGAGTGCGTGGGCCACGTTGTGGGGGAGCGTGAGGCAGGTCTGCTGCAGATGAAAGCCGCGTGCAGGCTGCCGGGGGAGTGGGCCCAGAGCTGCTTCGCGGACCAAAGTGGTGATCCCAGGGAGGCAGGAGCGTGGCCCAGCTGGCCTGGGTGTGGGGGCACCTGGGCCTGCAGCTGGGGCCTCGGTTTCCCTGATGTATGACCGGGGTGGGGCTCCACCTCAACCTCCGGTGAGGTTCTGCGAGTCCCGGTTCAGAACCTCCGACCAAACCTGGCCCCGAAAGCGACCTCCCAGTTGGGAGCAGGCCGGGGGTGGGGGTGTGGGGGATGTGACGTGGCCCCGCTCTTGGAGGGCAGATGCGGTGTGTGCTGGTCCACCTCACACACGCTCTTTATTTAGAAAAACACCGATTGTGCCTTTGATGCAATTCCCTTTCCTGCTCGTTGTCATTCTTAAACCAGATGGGAACTCTCGGAGCCTCCAGTCAACTGCTGCCAGGTCTGCGTGTGGGAATCGGCAGAACCAAAGGGGTTCTGATGAAAGCAGCCCACTTTGGGGGAGCTTAGGTCTTAATAGCAGCGATTAAACGATCTTCTTAATTATAAAGGGTAATGTTGACATCCCTTCTCCATCAGCTCTTGATCGCAGGGAGCACACGCCCAACCCCTCCTCCCAGCCCCACCACCGCGCCCCCTGCCCCCCCCCCCTGGCTGGGCCCGCGTACAGACGGGCGCTCCTGCAGCGCGGCCCTGGGCACCAGCAGTCCTGAGGCGCCATCGCCAATGCCCAGGGCCTCAGCCTGCCTCAGCAGCGACACCTGGAGCCTCGTGTTCTCAGCCATGTGCTTGTGTGTGGTGGGCCAGGCCCCTGCAGTTCTGGGGGTGCCCTCTCTCCTGGAAGACACCCCCCCAGCACTGGCCCCTCCAGGACGCTAACCGTCCCAGCTCCTCCTTGTCATCCTGGCCTCAGCCCCTCCCCCTTTCCTCCCGCCTCTGAATTCAGGCTTTATCCCAGATGCATTTCTGAGGTTCTTCCCCAGTATGTCCATGAGCTCATCACCCAGTAAGGGTGGTGGTGGCGGCCAGGCCGAGGGGGGCCTTGTGCAGGGTAGGGCCAACGGTTTGTCTCCCCGTGGTCCCGGGATGCACACGGGCCTTCCCCAAGCAGGCTGTGTGCCACGGGCAGGCAGGCGGTCCACGGCGGGGACGCCTGGTCCACTGGGCCCTCCCATGTACCTCAACGCCCTGGGACGCCTTGTGCCCATGGGCCGCCTGGCCGCCGGCTCCTGGCTGCAGGAGCCCTGCAGGCCGTGTGCCCTTGACTGGCCTGGGTGAGGTTCCCCAGGCGCCTGGAGGCCACCTCCCAACTCTGAAGCGGCGCTGGGGGCTCGGGGTCCAGCCATGAGGCTGCAGCACAAATGGGAGCTGCCGTGTGTGTGCAAGCGGCCTCCCTCCTGATAACAGCGAGTGGATCTTCTTAACGTGAGAAGGAAATCAGGCAGCTTCCTTGAGAGGCAGCTGGCCGGATCTGGGGGCTCTCAGGCGGCCGTTCCTCCAGAGAGCCTGTGGGGCCCTGGGCTGCCAGCTGCACTCCTGCTCGAGGGCCTCTCAGCGAGGAGGGGGACATGGCCGCAGGGGCCACGGGCCTCCAGGCTGCCCGCTGAGCGGGCCCCACCATCCACCCTGGGGCCCCGCCCACCCCCACGCACCCCCCACGCACCCAGATGGTACCACCTACCCACCATCCACCCCCCACCCCCCGTAGCCCCCCACCCCCACCCACTGTGGTCCCCACCCCCCCACCCCCCCATGGCCCCCTGTGCCAGCGAGAAGCCTCCGGCCATTCAGGATGAAGCCCCGTCTCTGTGGGGTGGCTGAGGGGAGGCCATGGGCCCCACATGGGCTGCTGCCCCTGGGCTGTGTGACCGGAGGCGCTCCTGGAGAGCTGCCCCCTCTCCGAGCAGGCGGGTGGTGGCCTGGGGGCTGGCGGTCCTGGCACGTTTCCCCTCTGTGGCCTGGATGAGCAGGCCCTCTGTGCCTTCGGGGGGCCGGCTGGGGGGTGCCTTCAGTGAGGGGGCCCAGGACGCCATCAGCATCCACTTGGGGAGAGCCGGGAGCCGTGCCCACGACACGGCAGGGCGGGGTGCTCTCCCGGATCCAAGGCCTCGGGTAGCCAGTCCTCTGCTCTGCAGGTGGGCTGCTGGTGGGGCCCTGGCGTCCCGGCCGCCCAGCACCGTGGATGCCGGGAAGGGCCCCTGTCTGGGGTGGGCTGGACACCCGACCCTGTGCCAACAGGGCGGACTCGGCCCGGGGAGCTGGCCCGGGCTCCCTCCAGTGGTCAGCGGCTGCCACGCAAGTGTGCCCCCTAGGGAGCGCGTTCCCAGAAGAGAGAGATCCTGGCATGTGCACCCCTGGAAGATGACTGAGGGTGAATGTAGAACCTGGATTAGACCACGGCAAGGAGCAGCTCACACCCACAAGGGCGGCTGTCAACAGCAGAAAGCCCCGGAAGACAGCTAGTGCTGGCGGGCGCAGAGCCAGGCAGCAGGCACAGCCGGTGGATGGAATCCCATGCCCGGTGTGGACCCAGGAGAGCCGGGAGCGGGCCCTGAGCCCACGCTCAGGGTGGTCCAGCCTTCGAGTGGCGGGAGCCACACCCCCCCTCCCCCGCAGACAGCTCATCAGTGGACGGAACAGGTCGACCGATGAATGGACAGAGGCCCGGTCTGTCCACACGAGGGATGAAAAGGAAGGACGTGCTGGCGCCACGACACGTATGAGCTCCGAGGACCGGATGCCCGGTGAAGCGCCAGACGCAGGACAGACCCTGCGTGGCTCCACCTGCATGAGGCCCCGGGGTCATCAGAGTCACAGACGGGAAGTAGATGGTGGGGACCAGGGCGGGGGACAGGGACGGGGCAGAGCGTCAGTTCGGGAAGACAGAAAGCTCTGGAGATGTGTGTGCTGACCGCTGCAGGACCCCGTGCGGGGCCTGATGCCGCTGAGCTGTGCAGCAAAAAACAGCCAAGACGCCAGAAACTTCTAAGTGTATTTACGTATGTTTACCAATTTATAACCCCTGGGTTATTCACAGTCTATTAAAACCATGCTATTCATCTCGAATTGATCAAGTAAGTCCTCATACATGTGCGCACACTCAGTCGTGTCTGATTCTTCTGCGACCCTGTGGACTGCAGCCCGCCAGGCTCCTCCGTCCATGGCACTCTCCAGGCAAGAATACTGGCTTGGCTTGCTATGCCCTCCTCCAGGGGATCTTCCAGGGAAGATCCCAGGGATCAAACCTGAGTCTCCTGCCTTAGCAGGCAGGTTGTTTACCACCGTGCCCCCTGGGAAGCCCAAGTCAGTCCTCACGAGTCTGTAAACCGACAGTTTTTCCCAGGGTCGTTTCAAGTCTGGAGACGCCGGCCGGTTGTCACCCTAGGCAGGTGGAGGCAAGCCCCCTGCGGGCACAGGAATCCTGGGGGCACAGGGTTAGGGTCAGCTCACAGCGCGGCCTGGTGTTCTGAGCCCCGTGGCCTGCCTGGCACGCAGCTGGACGGACACGTGTCCCTCCCGCGCGAGCCCCTCTCTTGGCTGTGTGCCCACCAGGCCGGGTCCACCCAGCCCCCCCCCCCAGCCCCCTGTGCCCAGGGGCCCAGACTTGCCATGAGGCAGGCCGTCCAGCTGCGGGCTCCAGCGGGGTGTGGGCTCAGGACCCCCAGGAGAGGGCCCCTCTGAAGGCCAGAGCCTGGCCTGCCCCAGTGGCTCTGGAGCAGAAGGGGCCTGTGGGGCAGCCAGGGGGGGGAACCCTGAGAAAGGTCCCCGAAACCACCAGGAAGGTTGCTGCAGTGCCACAGTCAGAGCCTGTGTCGACCCCTGACCCCTGACCCTGACCCTGGGAGTGGGGGGGGTCCTGCTGACTCCGCACCCTCCTGGCCCACCCAGCGTCTTCCCCTCTGTGTGTGGGGCTCCCATCCTCGACCCTCGGGGCCAGGCCCGGGGAGGGGGGTGGGCAGAGCGACACCTCCAGGCACATCCAGCGCCATGGCGCCCTCAGAGTTTCTGCGCTCGAGTACCGCGTGCGCCGGGGAAGACAGCGGCGCCCACCAGGACGGGGTCAGCCACGCTGCGGGGAGAGCAGGCCCAGGACAGGCTCGGGGGTGCAGGTCCAGCGCCCAGGGCTGCGCACGGCCAGGCTGGGCGGGAGGGGGCCTCAGGGTGCAGGTGCACCACGAGGGGCAGACGGACGGACAGGGGCACAGCCCGCGGGGGCCCCTCTGTCCACGGGGCCCGGCCCAGGCCAGGGGGGACGGTGGCGTGGACGGCTGGGCACCGTGTCCACACCCAGGCTGGAAGGGGCGGCGCTGCACGCCGGGAGGAACGGGGCAGTGGGGCTGGGGGACGGCGCCCGGAGCCCCGTGGCGTCCCCCCAGCCCAGCCCTGGGCCGGGCCCCCCGCCCCGTGTTCCCCCTCCCATCCCTGAGCCCAGCCGTGCAACTCGGGGGCTCAGTCACTCCCCGAACCATCTCCTGCCGTCCTTCCCCAAGGAGCTGAGCTGAGAGGCGCATCGAGGCCCAGGGTAGTGGCCCAGGGAAGGCCCGTGGCCTCGGCTCGCCCAGGCCCCCCGGATGAACTCCAGAGCTGGCCTGACAACTGGAGGCCAAGGCCTCACGCTGAAGCCGGGTGCTGGCTCTGTGCTTTTCCCCTTCACTTTGATCTATGCTTGAAATTTCCAAATAAAAACGTCAGTTGTTCACCCTTCAGACTGATCAGCTGGATGTTGTGCAGTGATAACTCCCCATGCCGTCACACCCCACCTCCGCTCATAAATCAGCTTATGGCTGTGATAGAGCAGAATTCCCCAATGCATCAACGCTGGCTGCAAGTTCAGTGACAACGCTCGTCAGTATCTAATCACAGAGCTCTCCAAGGATGTGGGTGCCCCTCAGGGCTGCAAGGAGCTGCCTCCTCTGGGGCGGGGGACCGGTCTCACGTGAAGCCCCCCAACCCCCTCGGGCCCTCCTGCTGCCACCCCCGCGGTGCTGGCATGTCAACCACACCTGCGTCCCTGCCTCACCCCACCAGCTGAAGCTCACCGTCCCCTGGCTCCGCATGGGACCTGGAGGCCAGACCCTCCGGCGGGGCCCTGCCCTCGCAGCACGGCGTCCGCCACCTGGATACACACGTGGGCTCCAGATGCTGGTGAGGGCCGGGCAGCCCTGGAGCGCAGCCCCCACAGGCCCACCCGCCCGGGCCCACCGGGTGAAGCACAGTGAGGGCGGGGGCCCCGAGCGCCCCTCAGGGAGGCCTCCGAGGCCACAGACAAAGCGGGCACTCCTCCCTGACCAGGCGCCCGGGGGCTCCTTCACAAAGAAGCCGGTGGGACCAAGGGGCCTGTGGCCTGGGCTCCGCTGGGGTCTCCCACAGCCCCCACCCCCAGCGCCAGGGTCTTCTTCCTCCCAGCCCACAGCCTGGCGAGGAGGGTCAGAAGCTGCTCCAGGTCGCCGTCTTCCCAGCTCAGCCACCGCGCCCCACACCCAAAGTCCACCCTACGGCGGCCAACTGCTCATCAGTCTCACTCCTGGGCTGAGCCCTCCTCCTGGGGCCCCGCTGCAGGCCTGGCCCCCTCCCCACCCCCCACTGGCATCCTCTCGCTCGGGCACACTCTCAGCCCTCAGCCCCGGCTGTCTGCGGGGGCTTGGAGCCTGGGACCATGACCCCCACCCCCACCCCGCTGTGTGGCCGGCCACCTGCCGGGGGACGCTCTGAGGATGGCCCTGGCTCTGCCGCCCCAGGGAAGCAGGGGTCACCTGGGAAAATTCACGCCTCCAAGCTGCTGGTCTGCAAACGAGTTTATTGTCAGGTGCGGAGAATGGCCTCTTGCCTGCCAGGCGCCCAGCGTCCAGCCTGGTTATGCCGTAAACAGGAGCCACCAGGGCCCACAGGCTCTGCGTCATGATGGGGAGTTGGCCCCGGGCAGGAGGGGGCCTGAGTGACCCGGGGGGGCCCAGGACCACGCCTCTGTGCCTGCATCCCCTCCATGCTGAGTCACGTGGGCGGGTAGAGCGACCAGACGCTGATGCGCTGGTCCCCGGAGCCCGCGGCCAGTAGGCCCGCGGTGTCGAAGGCCACGCAGTGGACGGTGGCGCTGTGGAAGGCCAGCACGGCCAGCGGCCGCATCGTCCGCCACTGAAACACGCGGACACGGTGGTCCCAGCCCGCGGTGGCCAGGATCTTGCTGTCTGGCCGGATCTTGACGTCGGCGATCCCGGGGTTGGTGAGCTCGTGGGTCCCGCGCACCTGTGATCAGACCGGCAGGGAGACATCAGGCGACTCCTTAGGTTTGCTTCCGATGCTCTTCCCTCATCAGCCCCAGGATGCCCCACCCCCAGGACACTCTGCCCCCTGGATGCGCCCCACTCCAGGACACCCCCCATCCCAGGACACCCCGCCTCCCTGGACGCCCCACCCCCAGGGACCCCCAGGAGCCCCGCCTCCAGGATTCCCCACCATCCGGGACGTCCCTCCTCCTCCCCGTCCACGGTGACAAGCACCCCGCGGGTCCCACGCCCTCTGCCCGTCTTGCCCAGGAATCCAGGCTCGGGGCTGAGTGCCCCAGCGCCAGAGCAGCCGCCCCTCTGCTCCACAGGCAAGGCCCCGCGGGGGCAGGCAAAGCGCGCAGAGCAGGCTTGCGCCCTGACTGTCAAGGGTGAGGACCTGCCCCTGCCTCTCCCGGGAGCTCAAGCCCTTGGGATCAGAGCGGTGGACGTGCCGGAACCCACGTGGCCTGCTTTGGGGGGCTGTTAACAGTGGGGACAGAGAGGGGGGTCCCTGCGGGGTGGGGTGCATGCAGGCCAGCATCGCTGCCTGGGAGGGACCCAGGGGGCAGGGTCTTCCTCCTCCTCCTGGAAGCTGGGACCGCCTGGGCTGGAGAAGACGGGCCATCCTTCCCACCAGCACCGGGGTTGGTCATGGGGTCAGAGCCCTGTCCTTGGTCCCTGGACGCGTGGGCAGTGTCTCCCGCCCACCGGCCGGCACATCCCACTGCTTGCTTCGGTGGGGCACCCCTGGCAGGATTGGGGAGGGCGGCACATCCCGGCCAGCAATGGGGGCGAGGGGAGGCCTGGCCGACCAGCCTGGGCCTGGAGGGAGAGCCGCCTGGCTGGCGTAAATCAGCCTCTTTAAGACTATGGACCCGCCTGAGGCGGAAGGCAGGGCGGTCTGCACACCACCTGTCTGAGGGCAGCCGCGGCCCAGAGCCTGCCAGAGGGGGCAGAGCGGGGACCCCCAGGTGGGCGGATGCCCAGCGTCCTGGTGAGGGTGACCCAGGGCCCAGGCACCGTGGGCCCTGCTGAGCCCGCCCGGACCAGGACCCCGGGGAAGGACCCGGCCACCAGGGCTCGCTCGGCGCGTGACCTCAGGTGCCAGGAATGCGCTGGGCCCATCTGGTTCCCATTACCTCGCTCGGCTCCGCGCGGAGCCCCAGCTGCGTCTGCAGCGCTAGCCCGCCCGCCTGCCCACGGAGAGATTGATTTGGGCTTGTTAGAGCCGTGGCCGGAAGGCGAGGCACATCTCTGCCCACGTGGCTCCAGGGCAGCACCGAGGCCCGCGACTTGCCCGTGGACAGCAGCGCACCCGGCCCCCGAGGCCCGACCCCTCCCCTGGAAGCCTCCAGGACGGGCGGCTCTGGAGAGGTGGCAGCAGGTGGCCGGGAGGTGGCGCACCCCTGGGATGGTGTGGAGTGGGGCCCAGCTAGCCTCCTCCCGCCTCCCTGCCTCCCTCTGCCCGGAGTTCCCAGTACATCTGCGAGCGGCACCTCCAGTTCTGTGCTGGACATGCCCCATATGCTCTGAGTCTTACGTTTCTGTCGCTGTTTCCCCCACAACGCAAGACACGTTAGGCCGACCTGGGCCAAGTCAGCAGGAGCAGCCAGAGGGGAGGCCTAGGGTTGCTGCGGTGGGTGGGGCTCTCCGGGGAGCCGCCTGGTCCCCAGGCCTCGGCCAGTTGGGCTGAAGTCCAAGCGACACCAGGAAGCGGTGCAGCACCCCATGGGTGGGGGGGCTGCCTCGGCCGCAGCAGGCAGGGGCAGAGAAGGAGGGGCCCTGATGTCCACCTGGTGGACCCTCTGCCCTCAACGTGAGATAAGCACGGCGCAGCCTTGCCCACCTCGGGGATGTCCACTCCCACCACCCGCGTCCAGGGCTCCAAGGTCCTGGTGATGGGAGAAGCACCACCCCACAGCAGAGCGCCCGGTGGGGACCTGGTCTGCCCCACCCCACGGGGGCCGAGGGCTCGCTGAGACACAGGCCCGGCAGCCACCGTGCTGGCTGGTGAGTGAGGTACAGGCTGGTCTGCGGGGAGCGGGCCGGTGCCAGGGGAGCTGGGGTGCTGCCCCGTCCGCGGGGACACGGTGCCCGGCTCAGACGCCACCTGCAGCCACGGCCACTCGCTCTGCTTCCAGCGCAGGCCTCCCGAGCGGGCGCCTTTCCGGAGGCTGGCGCTCCTCTAGCCGCTGGAGTCTAGCCTCCGCCCCCCGCTCCTGCCTGTGGCTCACCCTTGCAGCCCTGCCCCGTGCTCCCTCGCTGTGGGGGTCCTCGGCGGGTGGACCTGCTCCCCAGACCTGGGCCCTCAGAGCTGGCTGTGGACAGGATCTCAGCCTCCCAAGGCCTCCTGGTGAACGGGGGCTCCCACCCCCCCCAGAAGCCAGCATGCACCCAGGCTCCCCACAGGGCTGGGCACTCAGACGTGGCCCCGGGGGCTCCGTGGACATGGAGGGCGGGCAAGGCCTGGGTCACTTTGCCCCGAGGCCCCCCCACCCCCACCAGGCAGCATGCAGACGCTACAGGGGCCTCACTAGGGGATTTCTCCATGTACGGTTTGGTTCTTTTTTTTTTTTGATTAATCAGTTCCTTACTGACCAAATTCCTCTGAGTTTTCAAACTGGCTTGCACAGCCCGCATCCTACATGCCTGTCCTCTAGATGGACGAGACGTGACCGCTGTCAGCTGAGGCCCAAGAGAAACCCAAGCCCTGTGAGCTGCTCAGGAGTGCCGGCCCCTCACCCGCTGCCTGCCCGCGCCGGCCCGAATGATTAATTAGCCGGGGGCCTGCACCAAGTCCTCTTCATGCCTAAATATTGTTTCAGCCCATCAGACCGCTGGCGCGGAGCAGGATGGATGAACCCGCGGCCCGGACCGCTGACCTGCAGTGCCTGCTGCCCCTCCAGGCTCCAGACGGCCAGTGCCTTCTCCGCGGAGCCCGACACGCCCCTGGCCCTCCATGGGTCCAAGGCCAGGCCCATGACGGGCTCCGAGTGGCAGGCGACGCGGCTGCACACCTTCCGCGTGGAGACGTCCCACAGGGCCAGTGAGCCATCCTCGTAGCCGGCCAGAAGCAACGGGCGAGAGCTGGACTCAGCCTGTGGGGACAGTGGGGCGTCGGCTCCGTGGGGAGAAGGGGCTGGGGACGGTGGCCCGCCCTGCTGGGCCCGGGGGTCCGACATGCACTCTGGGACAGCGCCAGGGGACGCGGGGCACGGGCCGGCCCTCCGGCTCCTTCCCGCCACTGACATGCGCGGCTACCCCTGGGCAGGGCCGGCCACCTGTCTGGCAAGCCGGCCAAAGAAAACCCCGAGCTCCGTCTCTGTGAAAAATGAGCCTTCTGCACTCTGTCAACGTCACTGCAAGCCCCCCGCCTCTGGCCGCCAAGCCCATGGAGTCAGCGCCCCGCCCGCCGTGTGATAGATGAGGGCATGGGTCAGAGGCTGCGCAGCAGCCGCGGGGGGTGGGGGGCATGTGGACCCCAGGCCGGCCTGGCACCAACCAGGAGCAGCTGCCCTGAGCCTGGTGGCCGCCCCGGGACTGCTGGCCAAGCCCCCGGGGCTCAGAGCTGACCGAGCACGCCCGCCCCTCACCCGGGCCGCGGGGCTTCCCCGACCAGGGGCTCAGTGGCCGCCCTGGGTCCTGGAGGGCCAGCGGGGGCCTGGCCCGGGGTTGCTGCCGCCCTGAGAAGGGAGGCTGCCATTGGACGCGGCCTGGGCTTCACTGGACACGGCCCTCCTGCGGGCCTGGGGCTGCACCGCACGTGTGACGAGAGGGTGCCAGGGAGAGAAGGGGGCGGGGAGCCCCGCACGGGTCCATCCGGGGTCTGGAGGGATGGGAGGGCCCCCGTGCGTCCGGTTTTCAGATGAGCTCCCACCGTGCGGACTGCTGGGCCTGGGTCCACCCCCTGGGGGCTCCGCCCTGGCCTCCCGCCGCCCCTGCCTGCACGTTCCCCTGGCACGGGGGCTGCCCCGCTCCTGGGCCGGGGGCTTCGAGCACATGGCAAAGTGAGGGCTGCACGCCACCGACCCGTCCGGGCCCTGTGCAGCGGTGGGGGCAGCAGTCAGAGCTCCTGGTGCGGGGCCCACCCCCCTGCGCTGAGACCCCCAGGCCCCCTGCCGTACACAGAGACCCCACGGGCAGGCCCCCCCTACTCACTCAGCATCCCCACCCGCCCTCGGGTGTGCTGGCCACAGGGGCCCCAGCACCTCCAGGTTCCCGGGGAGCTCCTTGGCCAGAGGGCGGGCATTGGTAGGCCAGCTTCCAGGTCGGGTGTGCATGACCCCTGACCTCCCACGTGACCATCCTCCTCACAACACACGCCGTTGTTCTCAGGAGCTGAACAAGAAGGCCTCTGACTGGCTGGTCAGGCCCCCTGCCACACTTGGATCCGTCAGCAGTAGGCAGTCCGAGACCCAGGCCTGGAGAGACATCCAGAGCCGACTCTGAGCCAGGGGCTCTGGGCTGGATCCGTATCAGCCATCGCAGCTCAGCGTGTCCTTCTGTCAGCCGTGCTGGTTACCTTGACAAGTTTGTACATCCTGTTTCTACATGTGGTTCTGATGGAATTCTTACACGATTAGGCAACGACACTGACAGCGTCTCCAGAGAGAGTGAGTGGATGCGATGTGTCCCCTCTGGGGCCTGTGAGCACCCCCACCCCCCTGGCCCGCCAGCCTGGCACCCACAGCCTCGCCGTCCAGGGGCGTCTCGGGGCCCACACGTCCCTACGGCCCCGTGGGCTGCTCTCAGTTCAGAAGCTGCAGGGGCAGCGAGTATGAGGAAGGGCAGGGCCCTGGAGGGCCAGGAGCGGGGCGCACAGGCCCCTTCACCCCATGGGGCCACATCTAACCGCAGGGATGTGGGACTAGGGATGGCTCCCCTAGTCCCAGTGGCATAGGAGAGCGGCCCCGGTCAGTGACCTGCTCCCCATGGTGTCTGCGGCAGCAAGGACGCCGCTCAGTCTCTGGAGTGCATGCCCTGAGCCGTCCACTTGCTACCCCTGGAGCAGAGATGCCACGGCGACCGAGGCTGCCCCCACCCCCGCTGCAACCTCGGAGACACCTCCCGACCACATGCGGTCAGCAAGGTCGGCCGAGAGAGGCAGACACGGCCGCCGGACAGCAGCACTGAGCCCCCCACCAGCTAGAGAGCTAGGCAGCTCATCCCGCGAGCAGAGGCCGCGAGGCTTGCACAGTTGGCCAGCACCGCCCACAAACCAGAGGGCAGCACGTGGCTCCCCAGGGAGGTGGCCGCTGACCCCCACCACCCACGGGGGCGAGAACGAGCCCGTGTTCTGCGGGGGCTGCAGGCGCCTTTGCAGCAGGAGCGGGGCAGGCTGGGGATGGCAAGGTGGTGGAAGAGGGGGACCAGGAGCCCCGTCCCTAATAGGCATGACTCACGCCCGGGGGCGTGGCCAGGGCGTGGCCGGGCGTGGGGCCTTACCTGCCAGAGCTGCAGGCACATGGGCATGCCCAGTCTGGCCCCCGCCTCGGGCTTCAGGCAGCTCACCAACGTCTTGGACGGCAGCTCCAGAACTTGGACCTGACAGTGAAAAACAGGCGGGTCTGGGCCACAGCCAGGTTGAGTCTGGGCCGCACAAGCAGGAGTCTCGAGGCTCACTCAGCTAGGCGCTGCGGGCCAGTCTGCGCCTCCGCACGGCCCCCTGGCTCCCGGCCATGTGGGATGCACACGTGACTCCCCAGTGACCGGCAGGGCCCTCGAGGGTGCTACCATCCAGCAGCCGCCTGGGGCCCCTCATGGTGATCTCCCGGCCGGGCGGGCGGCTTGGCCCGACGTGCTGACTCAGCGCCTGCACCCCCGCCGGACTGGGCCTGAAATGGATGGCCTGGAGCCTCCGGGCTGTCCTGGCCCCCAGTGCCCGCCGCGCTGGCCTGTGCTTGGAGTCACCCATGCCAGCACAGACCTTCCTGGGTGCCCTGCCCGGTGGTCACTCTGTGGGGGACGTGCCACGGGCAGCGTGCCGGTGGGGACACAGGCAGCCCAGGTCTGCGGATGGCTAGGCCGCGGTGCAGTCTGCAGCATCGAGAGGACTGGACACCTGCTGGGAATACAGGACCGAACACAGGACCCCTGGGAGGGACTCCGGGTGAACCAGAGGTGCAGACATGCGGTGTGGGGGTGAACGCTCTCACCAACACCACACACGCACATGCGTCTGACACACGCTCTCCACACTGTCGTGCCTGCAGGGCCAGCTTCTGCCCCACACACCTTGTCTTCACTGCCCCAAAGATGCGGAAAAGGACCTGAGCCACAAGAGGGTTGCCCCGCCACAAGTCAGAACATGCCCCTGCGGCAGCTGTGAGGCTCAGGAGAGGTGCCAGCAGGACAAAGGACGTCGGGGAGGACGCAGAGGCCCAGGGTGTGGCCCGGAAGTGACTGGGCAGACCAGGACACTGAGTCCTCTCGGGGGAGGCCCCCCAGGCCTCAGGCGTCCAGGTGCGACCTGGCCGAGGGCAGGGCCCGGGGGTCGTGGGCCTGCATGTTGGGGGCCTGGCCGGGGGTGGTGCTGGCCTGAGAGCACGTGGCCACGGTCCCTGTGGTCGGTGGGTGGGGGGGCCTCCCATACACCACTGCTCCCTCCTGGCATCCGAGGGCACGTTCTGCTTCCAGAAGGATGTCTGGTTCGGGCAAGCATGGCCACCCAGATGGCCAGGCCCGGTGGGGCGGGAGCACGTCCTGGGCACATCCGGCGCCCCCGGGCCCGCGGCCTGAGTCCAGGCGGGAACACGGCGAACGGCCCCCTCCCAGGAGGCGCCCAGCCCCCGGCCCAGGCCCCGCCGCCCGCTCGGGAAGGGTGCCAGTGCAGGAGGCTCAGTACCATCTAGCTGCTGCCGTAGTAGAGAGTGGAGCCCTCTCTCTTCACATTAATAAAACTTTTAACAGGTTTTTGGCAAATTGGCAACAAAAGCACATGTAGCTCCTAATTGGAGATTTAGGTGCCTCGGCGAACAGACAGACGCCTGTTCCTGCCTCGTTATTTATGAGCTGGGTCTGCTCTGAGATTCACGGCTCCTCTTGGGCGCTGGCCAAACTTCCTGGGTGCAGGGCTCGAGTGCCTGCCCAGCCCTGCCTGCCAAACGGCCCTCAGGGAGCAGGGACACAGTGGGGGATGGAGGGGGTGCCGCCCCCAGGTATGTGGCTCTGACCCCCCCAGCACCCCCCCAGGCCCAGCTGACCAGTCCCCACTCAGCCTGCGCCCCCCCAACAGTGACCCTGGGGCCTGCTCTCTGACGTCCCCCTCTGTCCTGCAGTCGCCACCCCGGTACACGTCCCCCAGCAGCGTCCCAGCCCTGCCCAAGGCCTCACGCCGGCGCCCAGCTCTGACCCCAAAAGGCCACCTCCCCTGCTGGCCCGGCTCTGAGGCCCACCTGGACCACATGGGTCTGCCTGCTCCTGATGCCCTGAGGGCCTCCCGGAGACCTCAGCCCACCTGGGCCCCCTGCCCAAGCCCACCACCATGGCCACCATGCAGAAGACCAGGCCTCAGCCGCTCAGAGACCCCAGAGCTGCTCAGGGCTCACTCACCTCGTCATTACCTCTCCCGGGCACGGCCACCATCCAGCGCTGTGGGCCCTCGGCCAGGATGGAGGCCCTGCAGAAGCCCATGCTCTCCAGGCGCACGGCGTCCACCACGGCATTCCTGCCCTCTGCCAGGTCCCACACACACAGCTGCAGGTCGCGGCCCTGGCTGCCAGAACAGGAGGAGGCGGGCTGTGACCCTCGTGGGGAGGGCCCCGGCTCCTGCGCTGAGAAGGGCCACACTTGCGCCTGCGGCCCAGATGCGCCGGCCTGGGGTCCGTGGCAGACAGGGGCAGACACTGAGGATGGGTCGCGGGAGCCCGCCCACCGCCTGGCACTGACGCCCTGAAAGGCTGGGCCCACTGCAGCTCAAGCCTGCGTCCCTGCAGCGGCCCCTTGCTGGCCCTCGGGTCTCCCGTCCGAGGAGCCCAGGAGCAGGGGACCGTCTCTGACATGTGCACTGCGCGCACGCCCCCGGGGGACGAGGCATGGACGCAGAGGGTCTCACCTCAGCAGTCCGACCTGAGAGCCCCGGGGGTCCAGGGAACGGGAGGCTCAGCCCACAGAACCCAAGGGCCGGCCAAGGTCCGGGAACACGGGGAAGGCACGTGGGCACAGGCGGGAGGGGACGGAGGGGCCGGGACAGCGGGCGGGCTGACCTGGGGGCTGCACGAGAACCCCTGCGGGCCATGAGCCCGTACCCGGGGGAGAGGTCATGCGTGGGACGGGACAGAAGCAGAGACGGGGGCTGGGCAGCCCACGAGGGCAGTGGGGACACGGGGCCTCCATGCTGGCCCCTGAGCTGAAGGACCAGGCACAGCCACGCGCGTCATCACCGGGCTGGGAGCGGCTAGTCTGGATCCTGGGCGAACAATGGTTGGCCAGCGCTCACCAGGTCCTTGGACCGGGCAGGCTGTGCCTCGCCCTGTCCCTCGTGTGTGTGGGGGGCCCTTGGGTGTCATCTCCAGGGTGGCATTCCACACTCGGGGTCAACAACACGGGGACGACCCTGTGCACAAGGCCGACGCCCACCCCTCACGCCTGCACAGATGTGCTTGCCAGGTGTGCCCACTAAAAGCCGCCCCCCCGAAGTGGGCACCTGTGTGGACGATGGTGACCCCCCCCGGGGCAGGGGGGGCCCTCACCTCTGCCTGTTCCCCTGTGACTAACGGGCCGTCGCCCACTGTCCTCACTGATGTTTGTGTCCCGACCACCCCGACCCCAGGCCGGCCAGCGGGAGCCTCTTCTTGGGCACTGGGGGCCGCCGGGAGGCTTCTCAAGCCTCATCCACACCAGCCCCAGGTGAAACCCTCCGCTGCGCACTGGCAAAGGCAGGCACCTGGACCACACGTGCAGAGCAGGACAGGAACTCACGACACGGCAGCCGCACACCCTGGCCCGTCCCGCCGGCAGGGTGGGCAGAAGCTGCTCGGTCGCTCATTTAGGTTAAAAACCCCCCAAAACATAAAACGAGTCTCTGCACTTTGGAGATGCCTGTTCAGACGGTAAAGCAAGAAGGTGGGGGCATCCTTCCAAAGATGGAGAGGAAGGGCCAGGCAAGCAGGGGCGGGGGAGCATGGCTGCCCAGGGCTCTCCCACGACCACACAGCCACGCTCAAACTCCCAGGCCTCTTTCTGTAAGCTTGTCGCTCGGCCCAGAGCAGAAGGAGGGGCCCGCCCATGGGCACAGGCGTGGCCTCGGGCGTGCAGGCCAGGCCGGGAGGCTGCGGGGCCTGGTGAGGCCGGCCCAGGCCCCAGATTGGTCCTCCGGCCTCTGATGTGAAAGGGCACCTTCCCCTCGAGTGCCACTTCAGAGGCCGGACTTGCAAACACAGCTGGGCCCCGGCCTCCACGCTGCCATACACACCTGGTCCCTCAAGCACCTGCGCGCTCTGTGTCTGGCCCGGCGGGGCACCCTGGCCAGCTGTCACGCACGCACGCCAGCACCCCCCTATGTGTGCACAGGCCGGCTCTCCAAGGGGCCCGCCTCCTGGGAGGCTCCCCCAGGATAGCCCAGGTTGCTTGGGGGAGCAGGGGGGCCCATAAAGGCCTACACCTCCACTCGACACCCAGGAGGAAGGCTGGGCAGCTCAGTGGGGTCTTCGGACACAGCCTCTACTCCAACCATCATGGAGAGAGCGAGGCCCATGTGCAAGGGGTGCATCTGGGCAGTGTGGGGGATGGGGCGAGGCCCTGCGGGGGCCAGACGAGCACACGCCCAGGACACGGCCCCGACTTGCCCAGCCTCAGCCGCCCCAGGCTCGCAAGATGCTTGCGTCCAGCACAAAAGTGCTTTGAAGCCCCCTGGGGCCTAGAGGCCTCGTTTCCTGGGGACCAGGCGCCATGGTGCCCAGGTGCCCAGGCTTCAAGTCCAGAGCCGCAGAGCCGACCTGTCCAGGAGTTCTGAGGCAGAGGGTGCTCGGGAAAGCCCTCTGACCTGTCAGCTGTCTGGGGGTATGACCCTTGAAGAAGGGCAGAGAGCCCCAGACAGCAGGCAGTCTGACAGTGGGGCCCCCGTCCTGGACGGTGCCTCTCTCCAGGGGAAGGCGGAGGCCGCCAGCGTGCCCTGTACCCCCCAGTGCCCTCCGGCTGCTTCTTGGCCGACCGCCCAGCTGGGGCGCGTCCCATCGCCTCCGCGGGCCCCTGCCCTGATGCCAGCCCCCAGCCCCTCCTGGGATGCACAGGTCAGGCCCACGCGGCCTCCACACACATGGTCTCCTGCCCGGAAACTGTACCCCTCGCTCTGCCATCTCCCACCCCCCCAGCACCTGTAGGGCCTTCCAGCACCACCCCCCCCAGCAGCCTGCAGAGCTTCAGCGCAGGCTCGGCGCCTCCCCGGGGACCAACCGCCCCCGCGCAGGAAGGCAGCTGTGGAGCGGGTATCCCGACACCACGGCCCAGCCTGCAGAGGGCGGCGGGCCAGTGTGGGCCCCGCTTGGGCCAGGGGCTGCGGGCCGCGGCCTCAACCATCCGGGCGAGGAGTGGCTCTCCCTTCATCTTCAGCATTTGCTTCATTAGCTGCGTCTGGTCTTTGCTGTGGCAAGTGGTCTTTCCTTGCCACCCACGAGGCCCCTGGCTGGGGCGCGAGCACTCAGGAGCCGCCCGCGGGCTGTGGGCCCTGACAGGGGGAGCCTGCGGCCGCTGTGCTCAAAGTGGATCCACACCCCCAGCCTACAGGAGCTCCCCGGTGGGTTCTCCACAGAGGCCACCCTAGGACAGCCCCGTGGTGCTGGGGCTGCCCTGCGGCTGGGGCCCCGGGCCGTTCACAGGAGACCTCCACCCCTGGATCAGCGCCACCGCGACCCACCTGAGCAGCTGGGGCCCCCGGGGAAGCGTGTGCAGCCAGGTCACACACTGGCCCCCATGGCCGTCCAGGGCCGCGAGCGGCCTCCGCGTCTGTAGGCTCCAGATGTGCACCAGCCCATGCAGCGACCTGTTCAGACAGCACCGTCAGGGCCGGGCGGGGGGGGTGGTCAGGGCTGGCCCCAGGGGCGGGGGGGGCAGGCTGGCGTCAGGCCTGGGGGTCGGGGGGTGGGCTGAAGTCAGGCCTGGGTGTGGGGTGGGGGCTGGGGGGACACCACTCGGCCAGTGAGCAGGCACTCCAGCCAGCAACTTGCAGGGGACAGCTGGCCACATGCGCCCGGGAGATGTACTCTGCTTCTAGGCAGGGCAGGAGCCTGGAGCAGCTCTCTCCTGGGGAGCGGGTGCTGAGAGAGACACCCTGCATGCTTGTGGGGTGGCCGAGGGCGCGTGCCCGGGGTGGGGGCAGCCTGGGCCTTCCCCCAACTCCTCCTTGCCGCCTGGGCAGGGCACTCACCCTGAGAGGAGCAGTGGGTGCCCCTCGGCTCCATCGCAGAAGTGCAGTGCGTGCACGGCTGAGTGGGCGCCGCGCAGAACGAACTGGGGGTCTGGCGGTGGGGGCGCGGGGGCTGCCATGCACTCGCCTGCAGACAGAGAGGGGCATGAACAACTGTGTGCTCCTCACTCCTCCAGATGGCACGGGCGCCCCGGGGTCCCCCAGACGGTGGGCCCCCATCACCTGGAGCCCTTGCCCTGCCCTCTGCATCCCCGGGGCTGCCCTTCCTGCCCAGCCCTCCCTGCGCAGTCGGAGGTGTGCGGGTCCTGGTCATCCCCCCAACCCCGGCCCAAGCAACGGGCCGGCCAGTGGCCTCCTCCAGGCTCCGAACCCCGCACGCTGCCACCCACGGGCAGAGCAGCGGCCCCCACGGTGTGCGGGCAAGATGCAGGCCCGGTAACCTTACACCGCCCGGGAGGGCTGCTCTCACAGAGCACAGACCCTGCCTCAAATCCCTGGTCTCGTGATTAAGGCCTGTGGACCCCCCAGAGGAGGAGCTGCCGGGGCCACTCTGAGCCCCCCCCCGACCACCCTGCCCCAGTCCCGCTGGCAGCCACGGCCACCTGTCTGCCCACAGGTCCTGGGCCAGGCCGAGTGGACAGCTGGGAGCAGAGCCCAGAGCGGCTGAGGGGCTGTCCTGCTGGGCCCCGGACAGTCCCCCCCAGTCTGCACACGGCCATCAGAGTGCCACGGGGCAGGGGCCGAGGGGCTCCCACAGTGCAGGCCACCAGGCACACACACGTGTTCACACAGCGGGCACGCACACACGCACGCAGCACGGGCCCTGGGCAGCACCAGCAGAGGCTCAGCCTGCACTTGCCATCCGCCCGCGGCCTGACGGGAGTTTCCAGAACCTGCATGGGGCTGGCTCCAGCGGATGAATCAGGCCCCCTCACCCTGTTTCCCGACGGAAGGACGCAGGGAACAAACTCGTCACGTTGTTACAACAGCCGGACGCTCAGGCCAAGACGAAGCCTCAGCAATTAAGGGCTCCATCATTTCAGGCAATTAAAGTAAACGCTTTATTTGAAAACTAATTAATTCTAGCTACATATTTTTCCCATGACAATACCCCATGATGACTTGATTTATGACGTCTAATTATTCTTTATTAATCTAATTGAGAATAATCACATTATCCCATCTCCTGGCAGCTGGCCGCCCTGAGCGGTGAGCACCCGGCCGCCTGGAGGCCTCGCCCCTGGCCTGTCACTCTCCCCCTCGGCAGGCAGAGGAGTCCAACAGTTAATCCACAGAGCACAGCTATGCGTTCTGCAAGACACATTTCTTAAAAAATTAAGAGAGTCTGACGGCTCTTCCACCACTGCGACACACGCCCCCAGAGGCCCCCAAGCCCGGCCCCCAGACGAGGAGGCCATGGGGTTACACTGTGTGGGGGTTCTGGGTTCTGCAGGCCCCCCACCCCGTGTGGGCGCAGGAGGGGCAGGAGCCTGTGCCTGACCCCTGGCCTGGAGTCCTGGCCTGCGGGGGACAAGGCCAGGGCTCTCGGGGGCAGGTCATCTTACAGGAGCAGCCCCTGAGGGCGAGACCCCGCACCGGCGGAACTGTCAGGCTTGAACCGGAGCTGGAGCTGCGCCCAGAGCTGCCCGACGTCGCCTCACAGCTCTCAGCTACCTCGGGGCCGGAACTGCAGCCTGAGCATCCCTCACCAGGACCCGAGACCAGGCCTTGGCGGTTCATGTGGAGCACCCTGGACTGGCCCCCGTCAACAGCGCAAGCAGACGAGGAGGCCGGCCCAGTGGGGGGACCTGCAGGGGCTGCAGGTGCGGAGGGACCCAGCAGAGTGCAGGGCTGGGGCGCACTCAACGCTGCGCGGCTGAGGACCGCGACAGCCTGAGCTGCAGCAGAGTGCAGCCTGCTCAGATCTGGAGAGACCCGGCCGGGGAGAGGCTGCTCGGGGCAGGGGGTGCTCTGGGGCTGCAGAGGAGATGCTCCATCAGGGGGACACGTGAGGACAGGTCGCCCCGTCCACCACCTCCCAGGGGACACTCGAGGACAGGCCACCCCACCCACCACCTCCCGGGGGACACGCGAGGACAGGCCCGCCCATCCGCCCAGGCCTGCAGGAACCTCCTGACCCACCCACAGGGGCCCAGAGAGGACATTCGGCTCAGACTCAGGGCAAAAGTCAAGGTCACGGGGAACAGCAGGGCGACCCTTCTGAACTCGAGCCTGAAGAGCGCGCTGACCACACGCCACGTGCGGGCCGCGATGAGGTCCTGGTTTACGTCGAGAGCCGAGATAAACAAGGGTGAAACAGACTCAGACAGTCAAAGAAAACTTCAGCACGGTGGTAGCAGCAAAGAAAACCAGCAAAGAGAACTCAACAGGCTCCATGGACACAAACAGCAACCCAGCAGAGAAAATTACATTACAGTCCCAACTAAGAAAATAAAAGACTTAACCAGGAGTCGTTTAACTGTTGGACATCAAAAGGGCTAAAAACCTAAAGTATCTTTAAAACACGTGGACGTCTTCAAAATGAAGGAAGAGCTAAATACCAAATAGAAAATTGGGCAAAAGACAAGAACAGACAATCCACACACTGAGACAAGAGAATAGTCCTTGAAGCTAAGGAGAGGTGCTCCCGCCCAGGACTGATGCCACCCCAGCAGCTCTGGTTCTGGCTGGGATGGAGCAGGCTCGATGCTGACTCTCTCCTCTCTCTCCGGTCAACTGCAAAGAAAACCTCCAGGCAAAACATAAATAGCGATTACCTGAAGCTGTAAGACAGAAATGGTATGGACCTAACAGAAACAGAAGATATTAAGAAGAGGTGGCAAGAATACACAGAAAAACTGTAAAAAAAGATCTTCACGACCCAGATAATCACAATGGTATGCTCACTCACCTAGAGCAAGACATGCAGGAATGTGAAGTCAGGTGGGCCTTAGAAAGCATCACTACAAACTAAGCTAATGGAGGTGATGGAATTCCAGTTGAGCTATTCCAAATCCTGAAAGATGATGCTGTGAAAGTGCTGCACTCAATATGCCAGCAAATTTAGAAAACTCAGCAGTGGCCACAGGACTGGAAAAGGTCAGTTTTCATTCCAATCCCTAAGAAAGGCAATGCCAAAGAATGCTCAAACTACCACACAATTACACTCAACTCAGACGCTAGTAAAGTAATGCTCATAATTCTTCAAGCCAAGCTTCAGCAATACACGAACCATGAACTTCCAGATGTTCAAGCTGGTTTTAGAAAAGGCAGAGGAACCAGAGATCAAATTGCCAACATCCACTGGATCATCGAAAAAGCAAGAGAGTTCCAGAAAAACATCTATTTCTGCTTTATTGACTATGCCAAAGCCTTTGACTGTGTGGATCACAATAAACTGTGAAAAATTCTTAAAGAGATGGGAATACCAGACCACCTGACCTGTCTCTTGAGAAACCTGTATGCAGGTCAGGAAGCAACAGTTAGAACTGAACATGAACAACAGAAAGGTTCCATATAGGAAAAGGAGTGTGTCAAAGGCTGTATATTATCACCCTGCTTATTTAACTTATATGCAGAGTACATAAGGAGAAACGCTGGGCTGGAAGAAGCACAAGCTGGAATCAAGATTGCCGAGAGAAATATCAATAACCTCAGATATGCAGACGACACCACCCTTATGGCAGAAAGTGAAGAGGAACTAACAAGCATCTTGATGAAAGTGAAAAAGGAGAGTGAAAAAGTTGGCTTAAAGCTCAACATTCAGAAAACTAAGATCATGGCATCTGGTCCCATCACTTCATGGGAAATAGATGGGAAACAGTGGAAACAGTGTCAGACATTTTTGGGGCTCCAAAATCACTGCAGATGGTGACTGCAGCCAAGAAATTAAAAGACGCTTACTCCTTGGAAGGGAAGTTATGACCAAGCTAGATAGCATATTAAAAAGCAGAGACACTACTTTGCCAACAAAGGTCCGTCTAGTCAAGGCTATGGTTTTTCCAGTGGTCATGTACAGATGTGAGAGTTGGATGGTGAAGAAAGATGAGCGCAGAAGAATTGATGCTTTTGAACTGTGGTGTTGGCGAAGACTCCTGAGAGTCCCTTGGACTGCAAGGAGATCCAACCAGTCCATCCTAAAGGAGATCAGTCCTGGGTGTTCATTGGAAAGACTGATGTTGAAGCTGAAACTCCAATATTTTGGTTACCTTATGCGAAGAGTTGACTCATTGGAAAAGACCCTGATGCTGGGAAGGATTGGGGGCAGGAGAAGGGGACGACAGAAGATGAGATGGTTGGATGGCATCACTGACAGAAAGATGATGAACATGAGTTTGGGTAAACTCTGGGAGTTGGTGATGGACAGGAAGGCCTGGCATGCTGTGATTCACAGGGTCGCAAAGAGTCGGACACGACTGAGCAACTGAACTGAACTGAACTGAAGCTCTAAGAAGTGAACAACCGCAGACAGACTTTGGAGGCAGGCAGGAACTTGGAGAGCTGAGCTGAGTGGGGACGAGCTTCCTGCTTCTGTGTTTGCATCCTGGGGCACTGCCTCCAGGCTGGGTCGGGCTGCAGGGCTGAGAGGCAGGGGTGGCTAAGACTTGGAGAGGAACTAAGCTCAGTGCAGGGAAAATGGCTGAGTCCTGGACGGAGTCAAACAGGCAGCACATGCTGTGGGAGCGTGCCAAATGGCCACCACCACCCTGGGTTCTGGAGATTCCAGCTCTGATTCCCCAGCAGTGCCTGGCACGGTACCTGCTTCTCTCCTCTCTCGGCCCAGCCCTAGGTGTGGCCCTGGATGCAGAGCTGTGTGGGAGAAGAGGCTCTGAGGGCCGTCCTGACTTTGTGGCCAGAGGGACCGCGCAGAAAGGGCCCTGTGTGTGAGACAGACGGCAGAGGGCAGAGAGCTACAGAGACAGACAGGCAGTTGTGGAAGGAACCCTGGAAAGCCTGTGCTCACCTCTGAGCTGTGTGGGGTGGGATGGACCCAAAGCAGCACCAGCGTCAACACCTGAGTTGGGACCACTGAACACAGCCCGGGGCTCAGGCTGACCGCAGAGTGACTGGTGAGTGGGCGAAAGCTTTGGAAATGGACATGCGAGTAAAAACCTGTGGT